TACGGGGGGGCTGATCGGTTCGGGTGTGGGAGGGCTGCGTGGACACCGGGGGGAGCTTGGATACACGGGAGCTGTGTCTGCAGGGGGGCTGCTCTCATGGAGGGGATGTTTGGGCGGGGGGGCTCATGAGGACGGGGGGGACAGTCTAGGCACGGGGTCCGCCTGGCCTCTGTCCCCAGGAAGGTGATGGGACAACCAGTCCCAGGAACCATTCCTAAACACGTGGGAAGATGTCAGTGTGGGTCCCGCCATGGGGGGGGCCGTCCCCCACCGGCCCAGTGACCCGCGATGGAGTGAGGGGCTGGCAGAGGAGGGGGTGCAGCGGCCGCCGTCCCCCCAAAGCTCAGGAAGGTGCAGGGAGAACTGGCTGCGTGGCCGGGCCCAGAGTGGGGAGATCAGTGACACAACGTCCAGTTGGAGGCCAGTAACGACCAGTGCACCCCAGGGTTCTATACTGGGTCCGGTCTCATTTAACACCTTCATTAATGATGTGGAGGATGGGGCAGAGTGTACCCTCAGCACGTCTGCAGGTGACACCGAGCTGTGGGGGGTGGCTGTACCCCAGAGGGTCAAGCTGCTTCATCCTGCAGAGGGGTCTGGATGGGCTGGAGAAATGGGGTGACACGGACCTCCTGGAGTTCAGCAAAGTCCTGCCCCTGGGGAGGAGTAGCCCCGCAGCACCAGTACCTGCTGGGGGGCACCCAGTTGGAGAGCAGCTCAGCAGAAAATGCCCCGGGGGTCCTGGGGGACACCCCACTGACCACGAACCAGCCCTTGTCCCCAGCTGGAGCGGTGCCATGTGTTGGGCTGGGGCTGGGGTGGTGTTGGGAGCGCACTGGTGGCTCCGGTTGGTGCTGAGCTCTCAAGGGCTTTTCTGCTCCTCACCTCCCCCCCACCAGTCCCAGTTGGGGGGCACAAAAAGCTGTGGGGACACACAGCTGGGACAGCTGACCCCGGCTGACCCGGGGGATATTCCATGCCATACGACATCACGCTCAGCACATAAAGCTGGGGAAGGAGGAGGAAGGGGGGGGACATTCAGAGAAATGACGTTTGTCTTCCCGTCACTGTTCCGCTGACGGAGCCCGGCTCTCCTGGGGGGGCTGACCCCCCCCCCGCCACGGGCAGCGGTGACTGGATTCCCTGTGCTGCTCCGCTGGCGGGTGCGGATTCCTCGCTGCCCGTTAAACTGCCTTTGTCTCAACCCACGAGTTTTTCTTCCTCACTTTTACTCTTCCGATTCTCTCCCCCCGTCCCAGCGATGGGGATGGAGGGGAGGGGGTGAGCGCTGCGCGGTCCTGGCCGGGGTTGGACCGTGACAGGTCCCAGCCCGGGGGGGCCAGGGCCAGGCTGGGGGGCACCGGGGCGCTGAGCGGCTGGAGCATCTGCCGTGGGGAGGGACCGGGGGAGCCGGGGCTCGGGGGGGGGCGGAATCCGGGCGGATAAACACCCGCAGGGAGGGTGACAAGGGGACGGGGCCCGGGGGTGCCCAGTGCCGGGGCCAGGGGCCACGGGCACACACTGGCCG